AATTTGTAAGTTTTAATGATTTTAAATAATTAATTATAATATTTAAAAATATCAGTTTATAAATTGATTTTAATTTATTAAATAATAAAAATAATAAATGAGACAAGAATTTTGATACTAAAATTTATTATTATTGACTTAACATCATTTATGTTATTCAAAATATTAAAAAATAAAATTTATATTATTTAATTATTAATTTTTTTATTTTATTAAGACCTTTGATATTAGTATGTATATTAACTTAGTTAATGATATGACTTTAATCTTAAATTTTTGTTCTCTATGTTATTATTTAAATAATAAATATTAATTATTTTTTTTGTTCTTAATTATTTTTTACAATCAAAATAATAAAATTAATATTTTTAAAATTATTATTGTATGTCCTTAACATTTAAGCATGTAACTATAACCAGTCCCACATATTACGTAGTCTTTTCTCCTCTCCAGATTCGTCATTGGCTTCTTGCCGACACAAAAAAACTCTTAATTTAATTGGTCAAAATTATCTTCTTTTTCTTTAATTTAGCTAGTTCGATTCAACTGAGATTATTTTATTTTATTCTACTTAATAATGATATGTATTACAATTGATATATTTCAAAAGCATAAAAAAAATTCCATCAAAAAAAAAGAAAAAGAAAAAGAAAAAAAAGAAAGCAAGTGAATCATATTTTAAAAATAAATAAATTGGTACTTGAGTATTTCTATAAAAGAGGTTAAGGACTGAACTATAGCAACTAAAAAGTTGAGAACCGAACTAAACCATATGAAAATGGTTGAGAGCAGTCACACAATTTATATTTAATTTAACAAATCATCTATTAATTTTTATATATTTTTAATTTTATCTATAATCTTTGAATTTTTTAATTTTATCTATTATCTTTTACATTCAATTTTATCTAGTCTATTATCTTTAATGGAAATATTTTTATTCTATAAGAAGATATTTAGTCTTCTAATTATATATTTTTTTATTTTTTTAATCTTTAAATTTATATTTACCATAAAAACAATTTTTATTCTTATCTTACTAAATATGTTATTTAGAAAACTATTTTACAGAACGAACTATATATAGTTCATTCTGTAAAATTATTTAAATGCCATTAATTTTATTTTTATATTATTTTTTCAAAGATATTTAAATAATTTTACAGGACAGACTACATATAATTTGACTTGTAAAACAAATTTATTCCTGAAACTTCTCATTCTAAACTTATTAAATTCCTCATTTAAATTGAGTTAGTTGCTTAAATTTATTATAAATTCTAACTAATTTATCTTTATAAAATATTTCTTGAGTCATTATATTTTATTAAGATTATAGTATCAATTTACAAAAACTCAAAGAACTACTTTTTTCCGTTAAATCTAACAAGAATTTTGTGTGATAGATAATTTTGAAATATTCTTCAAAGCCTATAGACTATTTAGAAAGAAAATAAACTTTTTAAACTAAAATGAAATTAAGCTGATAGTTAGTAGACTAATAATTGAATTAAACCCGCAATTTATATAAAGATTGGTATCGTCCCTCTTCTCTCCACGGCGTCAGCACCGCCTCGCTACCCCACAGTCCCTTCCCGGAATCGCCACAAAAGCAAAGAGAAAGATCCAAGAAAGCAATGGGGAAGAAAAGGCCGCACCAGCACCATTCTCCTCCGTCGCAACCCGATCCCAAGAAGAAATCCACACCGAAGCTTCCAGTCTTCGCTTCCTACCTAGACGCCCCAAGCCTCCTTCCCAAAGTGAAACTCCTCTGCGAAATCATCGCCACCACGCCGTCCTCCTCCGTCGAGACCCTCCTCGAAGACACCGGTCTCCGCGTCTCCCGGGAAGACGTCGAGAACGTCCTCAAGCTCTCCTATGCTTTCCCCGGCCCCGCGGTCAAGTTCTTCCGCTGGGCCGGCCACCAGCTCCACCACCAACTCTCCCCCTACGCGTGGAACCTGGTGGTCGACATGCTCGGCAAGAACGCCCTGTTCGACGCCATGTGGGATGCCGTCAAGTCCATGAGGCGAGAAGGTTTGATCTCCTTGGCCACTTTTGCCTCTATCTTTAGTAGTTATGTCATTTATGATCGAGTTAAAGAAGCCATTATGACCTTCAAAGTTATGGAACAATACGGGTGTCCAAAGGATGTTGTGGCATTGAATTCGCTCTTGAGTGCCATTTGTAGAGAGGGGAAAACTTCTGAAGCAGTGGAATTTCTGCGGGTGGCCAAGAATGAAATTAAGCCGGATGTGGATACTTATGCCATTCTGCTTGAGGGGTGGGAAAATGAAGGGAATGTGATCTGTTCTAGGGAGACCTTCATGGACATGGTGGTTGAGATTGGGTGGGATCCTGGGAATGTTCCTGCTTATGATTCTTTTTTAAGTACTTTGCTCAAAGGTCCTGATGGGATGATTGAAGCTCTGAAATATTTGGAGACAATGAAAGAGAGGAAGTGTTCTCCTGGTGTGAAGTTTTTCAATGTGGCACTGGAGGATTGCTTGAAAAATAGTGATGTTAGAGGAGCTAGGTTGCTTTGGGAGGCAATGGTGGTGAAAATGGGGTTCAGGCCAGATAGTCAGATGTATAATTCGATGATTGCTCTGTATTGCTATACAAACAATACTGATTCGGCAAAGAAGATGTTGGATGACATGGTTCTGTATGGTGTATTCCCGGATGCAAAATCATATAACTTGTTATTTCAGTTCCTAATTAAGAATAGGAAGCTGAAGGAGGCTTTGGCAGTCTTTATTGAGATGGTTAAAAATGAGTGTTTCCCTACTCAGGCAAATTGTGCTGCAGCAGTTAGGGTTTTTGTTGAAAATGGAGACCCTTATGTGGCCATAAAAGTTTGGAAGTTCATGATAGAAAATTATGATTCTGATTTGGAGGAGACTGGAAATTTTTTGGTTGTTGGGCTTCGTGATCTGAATATGCTTCCAGAGGCAGTTAAGTATGCAGAAGTTATGATTGAGAGAAGAATCAAGTTGTCTTCTTCCTCCATGTCAAGGTTGAAACAGAGCCTTGCCAGGGAGAGGAAGGAATTTGTTTATGAACAACTTTTAACTAAGTGGAAAGCTCATTAGGCAGGTGGGACTTCTAATATAAGTTTATTGCATTGCTTAAATAGACTTATAGACCATCCATTGTGTCTTTTTGGCTCCATATTTTTCATTACCTGAGATAAGAATTGTATGCAAAGGTTAAATGACATTATGACAAACCTTTTGTATTTATAATACTTAAGAGGAGTTTACAAGATATACCTGTTCTTTTTTGTCCAGTGCTTATATTTTGTGAATTTACAAGAGTGTAGTCCAGAATCGTCAGATTCTTTCTCCGATTTTTGTTGCTCATAAGATATATGAGTTTTATGTCTTGCATATAACATCTAATTCAGTTTTAAGATAATAAATAACTCAACGATCTCAATACTTTTTGCATAGTATTGTTTGCATACATCTGCTATTTGTGTTTGTGTCAGTGCAGAATGCAACAAAGTTGTGCTTATATACAGACAATGTTTTATTGAGCCTTTTGCTAGTCATAGTAATCATCAAGAAAAAATGAGGAAAATATAGTCTAAGAAGCAGGTCTTTAGCATTATAAACACTATTGTTTTGTTTCATCTTCTCCACCAAATCTCATGCCATGGTGTGTGCTGTTATTTCTTTTAGCATCACCAAGTTCTTTTTGCAATTTCAAACTTGCTATAATCAATTAACTTGTTTCCCTTGCGTATAGAGATTTAGTGAATGTTGAGAACCTAGACTAATTTACATGGTGAATGGCTTTACCTTCTCTGTTCTTCTTTTCACCTCTCTACCAGCAACCTAAGAGCAATGAAGCGTTTTTTTACTAGATCCCTTACCCTTTTCATCACATGGCCAACAACCCAGCAGCACTTAACCTCATTAAGCAGGTTCGTCTTTCTATCCCCTTTTTTCATTCACAAAGTTTCTTCTTTTTCGTTGTGGTATTGCTATGGATTTATTGTTGATAATGCTGTTTGGATTTGACATGTAAATTTGTTGAAGTTAGAGAATTCATTTCAATTAATCATGTACCTTATTGTTTACTTCACTCTCTAAACTTATATCAAATGTTGAGTTAATGCTGTTTTTAAGCTTTTGGCTTAGGTTTCCACCTGTAGGTCTCTGTTTCTGCAATTGCTTGAGAGGGTTCTTGCTCTTGTTAGAATTCAAGTTCAAGTGTGGTTTTATGCTATTGGATAAAGATCCTTACAATTGATATAAATAAATTCAGGGGCTACTTATCTAGAAATTTCAATTTTAATGATTGAACATATATTCAAGACAGGAAGAGCTAAAAACAAGTTGCATTTTGTCATAGCATGTAGTGAATTTGGTGGTACATTGTATCTTTGTACGCTGCGAGTGCGACTGCATCAAAAGAATCTTTCGGTGACCACAAGCCCTTGGCTTTTAAGTGCCAGCATGAATAGAGATGCCAATGCAATTTTTCCTCTCCTTTCCTTTCTCTTTTAAGTTCTTTTTGTTTATAATGGAAAGTTGCGAACTTGCAAATTGCTTTGTGGTAAAGTGGAGATGTGATTGGGAAAAGAAATCTTAAAGCATTAGTATTCTTGTTTCTATGGAGTAATGATGTATGGGTAATCATTTGTACAATTTTTATTTA